TTAGATACACCTGGATAATACCAATAACTTACGGGTCAGCGAAAACGGTGAACTGGACAGACGTTGAAGTTTTGTGGATGGTAAACCGTAAGAAATACTGTTTTTCATGTTCATTTTGATCACTTAATATTAATGCACTTTAAATGCACGTGCATATTTCTTATGATACTGAAAATTTAAACAATCAGGTTGACAAGCCCTCTTCACTAGTAAAACAACAGTGGACTTGCGCAACGAGTGACTTGCTGAATTTTATCAGTTTATTTTAAATATCACATGAGATAAAACATTTTACCACTGGTTAAATGCTAAATAGATGAATCAATAAACAATCGCCTATTCACTATACTCTTATTCAGCTGTAAAATGTCTAGCTCGATTTATAAATGTGATAATATAAGTTGATTACATGATAATTCCTCTGTTCTGTAAGGTACAATGATTCAAACGATGAACATTGATTCGGATGACTGGTACTTGGTGAATGTTAAACAAGCAGGATTTTATCGAGTTCACTATGCTGACAACAACTGGTTACGATTGATAGATCAACTGCAAGAGAACTCCAGTGTATGTTTAAACTATTTCTGTTTCTGTTAATTGGAAACTATTATTTCTTTTAAATATTTTGTTTATGATTTTTTTACTATTCAAATCAATGCAGAAGAAGTATGTATTGCCAATTCATGTTTGCTTTACAAAGTCTAGTGTGTGGATGACACTGTACGGTGTGAGTCAGATGATGTGGGTTACAACGGTTACGTATATCCTCAACTGAATTCAAATATACAGTAGGGTAAGATGCACAAAATTACGTGCAAGCTGTACAGAGGTAATGTCAACAGCTTTTACACAAACTATTACAAAATAACCAGTAACATCAAATCATTTCATATGATTGTCACATAGTTGCTCCTTCTGATACCACTTCCAGCATTGGTTTGCAATGAACTGCAATGAAGATTCATGACTTCCCTACAAATATGCGTTGGTATGTATCGTAGGTCAGTGAGAGGAAGTTACTTCAAACAACATTTCAATATCACAATTTTCTACTTTGTGAATCTCTACTTTCAGCTTTTGACTAAGTTCATCCAATTGGGTTGTAATCTGTTTGAAATTTCATTTGCTACTTATTTATTATTTTTAGGCTATTCCAGATTACTCACGCTGGCAAATCATGAATGATCTATTCAGCCTTGCAAAGTAAGTGCGACGTTCAGAGTAGTCGATTTCACTCTCAGTATAATATCAACTTACAAATCATGAAATCATTTGACGACACAAAACGTTCGAAGTAAAATTGTCCCGTGTTTCAGGCCGCATGTCTTGTGAATGTAACTGGCATAATTTTTATGATCTGGATTTAATCAATCAGATGCACTTACGATATACAATCGGTTCTCATGTAAATTTCTGCAAAATGTAAACCAGCATAAGCTTTTTATAAATAAACCAAATGCCACTTATTTCAATTTCTGAAAATTCCGGTGACAGTAAATTTTCCTTCTTCGTCTTTCACATAACAGATACAAATATTGTACTTCTCCCAGACACTTGTTTTGCATCGTCTGTAACTTTATTAACTAAGATGCGAAAGTAATTAGGATTTAGTTACCATGCCTGCAGAAACTGTATTTACTTTAAGGTTGTTAAACTTAACATCAACGAATAACTTTTGCTATATTGCATCTCTTACCATCATACACCATGCGATGTATATAACACAAGCTATTTTGCTATACAGAGCTAGAGGTTTCCTTTGAGACCGGAAGCTCGTTGTGAACATCCTAGTTTGTTTGGCAGTTATGTGGCACGTTTCGCTAATAGTCCACATACAACTTTTGTAAACCGATTTCACAGATAACAGTGGTTGTCTTGCATCATTCTCGAGAGAAACTGTGATTGGGGTGCTGTATTGCATGTCACTATTGTTAATACTAACAGATTCGACAGTCAAGTAAGTGGAAGGGATCAGATTAGCCTGTTCATGATGTGCTTATTGATAGACGCGATCATCAATCGATCATGAAATGATTGATCCACCAGCATGTCAGTTACATGTGTAGTTCTCCTGAAAAACGTTGAGTCATCGACTAAACTATGAACATGCAAATATGAATGACACACACTCAGAATATAAATAATCATCTCACTTCTCTCAGTTGATTTAACCTGTTCTTTTAATCAGTCGTGGCACTGTACCATATACCTATTTCCTGAATGCAACAAAGTATTTGAAACACGAAGATCAGTTCATCGTATGGAAAACAGCAAGCCGAGCATTACTTTACATTAACAGTATGCTTGTTCTAAATGAGAATTACGGAGTTTTCCAGGCATACCTACGGACTCTTCTTGACAGTCGTATTCAATCAGTAAGCTGGTCATCTGTTAATGAAAGTCAAAACCCTGAAAACATGTGAGTGATAATATTTCTACATATAATGTCTGCACTGTGACATATCATTCGTTATGAGAATCATTCATCACATATTTACTATCTATGTCATTCATAGGAATCTAGGAAAAATGAATCATTACGACTGGTTGTGAATGAAATTTTCCTATGCATAAACAGATTTCTGTTTAAATTATTGATGGTTAAATCTTGAAGATAATAAACGTAAAAATTCGCCAGGACAAAATATTTTTATGTCCTACCATTTCGGTAAATGTTTCTGACTAACAAATTAAACTGGTTCAAGGCCGCACATCCGTTTGAATTTACTGATGATTCACTGCAACGTGCTAATGTAAACGGAACTTTTGTTCAATGCCAGACGTTCAAATGGTAGAATATCGCCGAAATTCTTAGGCCTTTATAAATGAAAAAATTGCGTGAACCCACTGAAGAACCTTTATTGATATGTTATCATTGCAAGTGGTACTCGTTATTAAGTTAGCGACGTTTTACATCATCAACAACGTTGTCAACCTCTGGTACTTTCGAATACTTGACTAGTCAACTGCATAGAAAATAATTTGATGAAACAAATCAAGTTACATACATTGATTGTGAGAGGTAGATTACGCAACTAGATGCAGGTAAATTTTACGATTCCCGAGTACGGAGGATAGGTGAATGAATGTGGAAGGGATTATTGCTTTTGAGACCACAGATTTTCATGCAGCATCCAGCAGCTTACATGTTAAGGTAGCTCAAAATGTTTCATCATAATGGCGTTCTGTAAATGCTATTTCAGTGGACAAAGCGAATGACTTTAATTGTTTCATGACATCTTGGTGTTTCGAAGACCATTTGTCAGCACCAAGAATCAGTCTATTGCACTATTGACACATAAGTTTATTTTCCAGCAGATTATCCATTCTCACAATTATTGATGTTTGTTGAAATAAAGTAATCTTCCTCCCGCCTTTTATTCGAACTCAGACTTCTCGACACTACATTGGCCAGACTCGCTTGCAAAGCAGAACCACAAATTTTTATTGACAAAACTGGAGAACTCTTCCGACTGTGGATGTTAAGACCGGAAGAAAATCCGTGAGTGGCATAATTACTAAACTTCGTGTGATAATATAAATTACAGTTTTTGAACTGTTGTGGACGCTAGATCGCCAGAGTTGCTTTGGGAAAATTTTTGATTTTGTAATTCATTTCTTTTATTCTGAGTTTTAATTTTGTCGCGGCAAGAGAAACTTAGTTGACATACAGCTTATATTTCCCCACTCCAAATCCTTGACTTTCATTGATTGAAAGATTACATTAGTACGCTATTTTATGACTTTCAACAGGGCGTTTCTATCATCATACAAATAAGCTCGATTTGTGTGCTTAGCAACCTTCGTATTTTCTGGGTGCTTGTTGAATGCACACTCTATGCCTTTTATAGAATTCTTGTTCTAGTTCGCCGAGGCTGAGACAACGGATGAAAATAGCTTATCGCGTCACTGAGTTATTGCTCCCGTTCTGTTTACCGAGAAAGGTGAACTCATAATTGCATTTAAGCATGTCAATTGATGATCTTGTCATATACACCTAAATATCATGTTCAAATTCATGAGAAGCAATGCCTAAGACACAGTTTACAATCGTTTTTTCATCATTCTGTCATAGTTACTGACTAACACAAATGTTTGGAATGTGTGCATTTGAAAGGTGACAAAATAAATTGGTATGCGTGACGAAACTATTACTAAACAATGTCTGTACTTTCTCACTGTTTCGATTCATCAACATCAACTACCACACAAAATAACATGCTGGAAAAAGGTTGATGCAATATCATCTGATGATCGAATGAAGATTATTTGTGCAATCTTTTGCCTCCGATGACTATGTATATACATATGATTGACAGAATGGACGTTTATTCGCATCGGATCTTGTCGGTTTACATGTGATTCGCGATACAGTTGACTGAGAGTTAAAAATCACTCAACGAAATTCTGAATTTTATATCAAATACTCAAACTGTAATAAAATAACTATTAGAATAACTGAGTGTTAATGTTTGTATTTATTGCACTTTTACCAATAATAAAATAATGATATATACACCATATTCTTATTATTCAAAATTAGAACTTCTGACGTTTTGCCACTCAAAATAATTCACTTTTCAGTTTATGACGCAGGTTCAAGTGGCATAGATGATCTAGGCAGTAAATCTAAAATAAGGTTCGGTTAATTATGACGAGGCGAATAATTTATTAATCATGAATAATATGAATAAATGTATATTTACTAAGCATTCAGATCTGAGGCAAGACGTTCTCATCAAATAGGAGCTGTTAAAAAATATACATCTGTGCATTCAGATGAGTTCAAACGGTTCCGAAAGCATAATTTGCGGATGCGCGTGAGAAAAGTGAAATCAGTAATTCTGTGTTCGTTGTCATATATATGTCTACGAAGCTTTATATTTACCTGACATTTACTCAAATAGTTTGAAGTCTCTTAAACTCATCTTTATGAATCTGATCGGTTTCTATCAACCAACAGTAATTGCTTCGTTCACTTTTGTTTGATTTAACAGCATACCACATGGTTTACGATTCGCCACTTATTGTATGGCTATTCATTTTGGTGGTCAAAGAGAATGGACGTTTTTAAAAAGGCAACTGTTGGTGAACGATAATTCGAAAACAGAAGAAGAGATTGAAAACATAATTCGGGCATTGACGTGTTCTCGTGACATATGGGTTATGAAAGGGTGAGTTTAGACATGACCCTCAATTTCATGTTGTCAGCGTAGCGTTAACTCGATTGAATGTTCAAATGCCCACTCCTTTCAACTCACAGATACAGATGCACGATCGAAATGTGATTTTTTTAACTAGACATTCCATTAAGCTGGCATGGCGTTATCTGAGCATATTTGTGACAGTGATAGAGAGACATTTGTTCTTGCCTATATAATAGTGACTACACAATCAAACGATGTTGAAACTGATGACAGTATCCAGCATGACTTTGCTCGACCTGGAGATTACTACACTGGTATTTTATTCGCCATTGGAGCCTCTCGAAAATAAACCACCTATTATTTTAGTCACAGTTTACTGAGTAAAATGGAGTCATGATTAACACACAACACATTTTCTCACCTCAGTTAGATCCCAGTGATTACCATTGTTAGCTTTAGTCGATTTTCTTTGATTTGACATCTGGCTAAACCTCAACATGTGATTGCTTTACAGGTCACCAACCTAATTGAGAACCTCAAGGATTCCTCCTTGAATTCATCACTCACTGTCTCATGACTACTTTCCATAAATGACAGCCACAGGTTTATCGAATATTCTTTAGTTTGCGTCAGTTGATAATGCATACTAGTTACAAGTTAATTAGTTTCCACAAGTCCACTACCTTAATGCACATAACACAGTTGAGTGGCAACGCTAAAGATGGAGTTAATTGCATCTTCATTTCTCCATAACAGATCATCACGTGTAACAATCTGATGTTTCGTGAGCCTTCACTTTGATTGCTTCCCCCTTTGATTCGATTCTTGGTTCGGTATTTTCCTGGTAAAGGTTAATGTGGTAGTCGTTTGGAAGTAACGAAATATTCTTCAGAGTTCTGTTAGATCGACTGTATCCCTTTCATTTGTCGACGTCTTCTACGGAACTGAATCATGGTGTATGAACTGACTTCACTCAATGAGATGGATAAATTAATTGTCTCCTATTGACTTGTTATTAATCCCTGATCACTAATTACCATATTCATGCACATGCTGATATCATTTATTACCAATATTTTCCATTGTTATTGTTTCACTCATCACAAAATTAACGACTTGAAGTAAGGACTGAACAGTGTACTTCACGAAATAAATGCACTTACTCCACGTCGTCCAACATATCATCTAGACAATCGTTACGAACGTAGGCAAGACGAATACTACAGCTCAAGCCTTTTCATTCTTTGAATAGAATTAAGCAAGGAAAAATCAGTCATTAACAACCCATTCAATTAAAACGGAAAAATGTCACAATTCATTTCTATTCATTTCTAACACGCGTTAACTAACATTCAAAACATTACAACTAAAACATCTCAGTCAATGTAGCCCCACTCACGGACAATCACTTGAGATACAAGTCTTTTCTATCATACACCATTCCTGACCATCCTACTCATTAACTTTTCAACAAAGCAAATATTCATAAGAACTGATCAGCTCACTGCAATCTACTGACCATTTCCTCCATCTCTTTAATAGGTACTTGAGCTGGTTAAGAGAAAAGAGAGAATTCTGGAAACATCTTGTCTACTTCACTGAATCTCCGGTCGGCAATATACTTTTGTGGGACTATCTTAGTGAAACGAGTAATTTAACGAAACATCAGTGAGTTTAACTTCACAGTTAGACTAAGCAAGTGATATTCAAACGTTTTATATATATACATACTGACTACTTGTAGTGTATTGGTATTTTGTGTTTTACTGATGAATTTTCATTATATGTAAGTCATGAAGTGGATAGATTAAGGACCAACACCTAGAGATGGAAGTTAGTGAGTTAGAATCTTTAAAAGTTTATTGTTCATTGTTACCATTGATCACCTTGAATGTTTACTCATATGCCATCGGAGCCACAACATTGAGAAAGACATTATTTCTGATAGGCTGGTGTGGAAACCAGTACACTGCGAAAATCAGGCACAATTTTGACTTGTATAACTTTCAACTGAAGGCTGATTTTGGTGTTTACCAATTTATGTGCTCATTTTCGATCAATATATTTTCTTTCTGTGTGATTTAGTTCTGCAGTGAATAAATTGTGCTGTGGTTACCCTTATCTCAGTGATCTAGCACTTATACCTGTCGTTGTTCATATCAATAGCTTCAAGTGCAAACGTGAAAGAATACTCGTGGATTATAAGTTATGTTAGGAAAATACTATTGAAAACTTATCATTCTCTACACATCAATTCGTCATAATTACCCTTCAAAAAACAAAAATTCAGCAGGTTTGTGTTTCACATCTTCTGGTTGTTCTACCACGAACAGCTAAAATATCGCCAATTAGTGTGTAGGAGAACGTATCACAGTGTGTTTTCTTTCTTGAATCTGAAATGCCTGCACCAGAAATACACTGTTGCTTGAATCACGTTGTGACGTGATCTCGAGTATTCAAATACGTTACTTAACTCTGCTAATTGTCTTTGTGTACTTTACTATCACTTTACCTTCAAATTCCACTTAAGTGACCAGCCATAGTATTTTTGAGGAATACCAATTCGTTTCACGTTTATATTCTGCTTAAGATATTAGCCTGCAATAGTGACACACCTAGTGAACGATCAAGACGCTGATAACGTTTATTCAAACAGAGAACATGGGAGTTAATTACTGTAAAATTATAGTAGAATTTATTCACTGAAAGGTGAATTCATGCATTGTTTAGCCTTGAAACAAACTCAGTATTACTTCTACGCATCTACTCTATTTTTATTGTAACCATTTCTTTGTTGAAAAATAAGAATTTCGTTTGAGTCATAATAAATATCTAGCGGACAGTCTGATACCGGGTACAAGCAGTTTTCAGGCATTCTACATAGACATTATTTGTTGGCGGAGACTACCGTAAAACATTTTGTACTCTCAATTTTCATTTCAGAGATTTCAAAAAATCTATACTAGACGCCCTAAAGAAACATCCTTACGCAGCGTATAATGAGTTGGGTCAAGAAAAGGTTTGTACATCCTTTGTTTTATTTGCCAGAGACAAACATAAATTGCTTGCATTCGTTTTATATTTCTACATGTTACGAATTAGAAGTACTGAATAGTGAAATATTTTATTCAGTAATAATCAATACCGTATATATATCAATATTCGTAGTTGGGTGATGGAAAGTTTATTCAATAATATTAGTAGAAGTAATACAAAGTGATTTAAAATTACTGATGGAATGTGCAAAAGTTAGGTTTCGTTTTAGACAGATTTATCAAACGCAGATAGTTGTGAGCCATGAAGAACAAAATGAAATTAACCTCATAGAATTCAGAATTCGCTGACTTGAAACACGGTCAGCAGTAATGTGACCCTCAAGTACACTTTTGATAATTGAAGAGATTTACTTTGGTAAATTTACGGAGACTGAATCAGGATTTTCGTGTGTACAACAAGGCAGCCTTGGTTGCATATGTTTTCTAGGACCAATCGACACTTCGTATTGTTTGACTATTTTCTGCTTTGTGGACGAAATTCCTTAATCTACGCTCTCCACATTCACTCTCGAATTCCCATCTGTGAGTGTTCTTCAACAAATCTAAAGTATCAGGGAATGAATGTTACATTGCACACAAAAATGTCAAAGTGTACTCCAAACCATTTTCACAAAAACTAAACACACATTATTTTGTAGTATTACAGACTGTTCATACTGACTAGTTTCCACCATTTCTCAACTCAAAATGAAACTGATAATATTTTGTGTACTGCCTTCACTTGTGAGCATACGAACCGATTATTTTTCTTGACAGGAGCTTACGAGACAAGCTGACAATCAGACAGATGTTGAACTGAAAGAAAAGATCAATGATTTACTTCAGAAATACAAACAGAACGTGAAGTGGACTGAGAGCTATTCTCAAGTTGTTATTCAGTGGTTGAATGAAAACGTTCCACTGAATAACGAATAGCGACTGATTGGTTCTGTTGATTGTGACTAACCGTTTACTGGTGCATAAACGTTAAATAACTATTCCCATCAAAATTCGTCATTCGTTTAATTGTAATTCCTATTCTGTCAAGCCGTTGTATATCAATATATATTTGTATATTTGCACCAACACTTTAATGTTCGCTTATAATGACTGACCTATGTTTTTGCTGTGTAGTTGTGATTATTTAAATAATACTAACTTTTGAATAATCTTGTTATGGTTTGGATTTGAAATTCTTCAGCCGTGGAAGATGCATTCGTTTCCAAGAGCAAAAGGTAATACACTGAGCCAATAAGAATTAACCGAATGAGAAGGTGATTTGTCGACCAGTCGAAGTTGTCCCTTGAAAGGAGCGTTTATCACCTGTTAATAATCAGCTTACGTTCCTGTAGACGTGAATCCATATATCTAAACGAGTATTTGTTTATGATTTTCGGCAACCAAATAGACTTCCTTTACCCGTGTTTGTTTCACGCACAAGCATACAGGTTTGAGCGTTTAGCACTTAACATGTTATACACCGCAAATCATAAAACTGTTCCTATAACGTTATATTTTTAGGATGTTATATATACTTGTCCAATACATGTTTGCAGCTACACGTCCATGTCGAAACACGATCAGCTGTCATGCGACCATTGAGCACATATTTCTTACTTTGTAATTTTTGTTGGAATTATCTGCTGCCTCAAGCGTTGATGCCGTATTAATATTTCGCATTTCATTTCAGTTGAACGAGCAAATTAATGAACAGACTTATTTAGTCCACCAGCATTAAGGCGAGTAGAATGAATATGCGCTTGGGCCGTAAGAAACGGTCAATCACGCTTGGTCATGCAAATGTGACGATTGTAAATGTAGTCGTTTTGTTTAACTGTACGGCTTCAGCAGCGATCTTCGACGCATCAGTCATGATGGCTTGTAGTGGAACTCTTCTACGAAGAAAATATTATTTGGGAAAAATAAACATTATTGTACTCGTTTTGTTTAACTGTACCGGAAACACTTCTACTACTTCTTGCGCGCATCGTTCTCTTCGCGTTGCTGCCATCTTTCTCTATTTGCTCTTCCCCATGTAATGCTTACTGTCTCCTTCAATAAAACCTTGGAATATGGATTTGTTTTGCTTTCAATAATAGCGAAATGTTATGGAACATTTAGTGATGAGCATAGTCATTCTGGTATCTGGATTCGCTCACAACAGGCTAATGGAGCTCCGTTTCCCGGTCGTACTAACATTGCCTCTTTGGCGTCTGCTGACAAGTGAAATGTTTGTGCACTTCCTCGCAAAGCGTCTGTTAATGGTTGCAATGTTATTGACCAATTCGGAATGAATCGTCTATAGTAGTTGATAAGACATAGGAATCGTCGAAATTTCTTTTGTGATTCGTAGAACGGCTAATCACGAACAGGTGTAACTTCTGTTGAAACAGGTGTGATACCTACAGAATTTAATTCGTGTCCTAGAAACTGCAGTGATTTCTTCCAAATTCACACTTCTCAACGTTGATGGAAACACCATTTTCATGTACTCTATTGAACAACCGTCTTAGTTGTTCCACATTTTCTTCCGCTGTAGCACTCGCTACAGTATGTCGTCGATGTAAGCATGTTCGCCTGGCAAACCACTGACAACCTGGTTGATGAATCTCTGCAAGGTTTGAGACGCATTAGTTATTTCGAAAGACATTTGCTAAAACTCAAATATTCTGAATAGGGTGATCACAGCCGTTTTCCGTACACCCTCCTTGCCACGGGAATATGATAATTTGCTCTAACTACGTCAATCTTAGAAAAGGTCGTTGTGCCTTCCATGTTGTTAGTAATATTGTGGACATGTTGTACTGGACGTATTTCTGTCATGGTTTACTTGCTGAGTGCTCTGTAATCTCCACATGGTATGTATTACCTGTTCTTTGTCGAACCATGTGTAACAGAGATACCCATGGACTGCCAGATGGCTGTATAATACCAATTTTTATGATTTTGTCGAATTTGTGTTTAACAATTTCGGGTGTAGGCGTCAGGCTCTTGCGTTACAAGGTGTGTTTCTCGCTAGAATTCAGTGCTGCTAGCTATCGTATGATAACTTCGTCAAGTCAGCGTATTCATTCAGGAGCAATTTATATGGATCTTTGTTGTCTCTCGATACTACTAAATTCATAGACGCTCGATAAGTGGTTACTCCTCTTATCACTGTTGAACGGTCTCTGTTAAAGAGCCGGTTTCGTGGAGGATCTATGATAAGTCGAAATTTTCCAAAAAATCAATACCAATTATAGGTACGGATGAGTCCGCTACAACAAACACTTAGCGAAACGAAATGCTTTGACGAAAATCCAAAATTATTTTTCGCTTGTCGTATGTTTTTATGTCAGATTTATTTGCTACCCTAAGTCTAAGAGCCGTATCTATATTTCGTCCTTCGTTGCTCAGGGCGATACGATCCTTATTTCGGCTCCTGTGTTTACTAAAAATCGAGCACCAGATATTCTATCCTGAATGTAAAATAAACGTTTGTTTTATGGAGCTGTGCCAGTTGTCGCAGCCGTTACCGTCAGCGGCTGTGATTTTCACCCTGCTGTATTAACTTCTATTGTGCATGGTAATCTACATTTTCGATAACTGCTGTCTTACGACTGTTGATACCAGCATGATTGGCATTCCTCGCTCGATCTAATTCGTGACCATCTTTTGGTCTGTCGTTCAACTTTGAATTCGTCAGCTGAGTGCTTTTTGATCCCTTCGAATTCATAGTTTGGTGTGTGGTGCACCTGTGGACCCGGTGTTTTGTTCTTTCTTAAATTCTATGGGCTATTTCTGCTATGTGATCTATATTGGCATCGCTATCTCTAACTACGAGGATCTGCTGAACATTCGAAGGGAGTGAGCGAAGCCATAACTGATAAAATATGCTTCTGTCGACTGTTCTGTCCCCTATAAATCTTCTAATGTAATGTAATGGAAACAGTGTAAAAGCACAGCCGAATTTGTCTAGTCGTGAACGAATGAGGTTGTCAAAAGGTAAGTATTAAGTCTAGTAAAAAAACGTTGTGAATCAGTGACCCTGAACGAAGAAAAACAAATATTAATGGACCTCATGTATGTCACTTGTGGAAGACTTGTGTTGTTAACTGAAGACATTATCATTTGCAGTAAGTGGTACACAAATAAACTAACAAATATAAGGAGAGGAAATTAAATAGACAATAATAATGATAATAAGAAATAGTAAAATGTTATAACATAGAACTGATTCACTTAAGTGCACCAGTATAACAGTTGTATATAAAGTGACGTTACTCGTGATTGTTATTATTGTCAATATATGTCAAACAGTGCATCATCCATAAGATACAAGTGTTTATTAACAGTTGTCTTCGCAAAATACTTCGGATTCGTTGCCCAGACACCATCAGCAACAACGTACTTTGGGAGAGAACAAACCAGATTCCAGTGTAGGAGGAAATCAGTAAGAAGCAGTGGAAGTGAATAGGACACACACTACGAAAAGCACCTAACTGCGTCACGAGACAAGCCCTCACATGGAACCCTCGAGGCAAAAGGTAAAGAGGAAGGTCAAGGAACACATTATACCGAGAAATAGAGAAAGATATGAGAGGAATGAACAAACATTGGACAGAACTGGAGACGGAAGCCCAGGACAGAGTTGGTTGGAGAAAACTGGTGGGCGGCCTATGCTCCATTGGGGGCAACAGGCGTAAGTAAGTAAGTAAGTAATGTCAAACAATGTCTATGAAATAATTAACATGCAATCAAAATATGATACTAATAGCGATCCCCAATAGCAATTATAATCCACAGTAGTAGTTCGTCGTTAAGATTACTGATTAGTTGGTAGTGTTCCATTTGTCGTCGGGCTCACTTATTTGAGATGGGCAATGTTTGGTCGTACCTGCTCATACTAACCGGATAATAATAAAATCAATGGTACATATGAGTTGTTGCTATACAAATGTCTTGATTAAATAAGTTAATCAAAATCCTTAACCAAATTAAATATAAAATAACTCAAATGTATGTGGAGGCACTACACTTTATCAAATGAGTTCTGAGGATCTATCGTTCCAAACACTCTAGCTGTCGTAATAGGTTTCCGCTTTTTCTAATCACTGTAAATGGAAACGCTGCATATCATTGCTTCGGACAAGTACATGGGTACTGTCGCTTAGTTATTTTGGTATGCACAACCAATGTTGATGCTCCCTCGCAATCGTTATTCTCAGACCACTTATATGCTGCTTCAGACGTTGTACATAGTTGGACATTTCAGTTGCAACACTTTTATCTTAGGTCAAAAGTCTCCTGGAAGACGTTGAGTAGTTCCATCAGTCAACTGGGCTGAGCAACATTGTAAAGCCTGTTTAATTGTTGATGTCAAAATAAGCATGACTAATGGAAGCTTAGTTGCTAATCATAAATACTAATCACAGCTGTGAGAGAGGCTTTGAGTTGTCGATGCAATCTTTCCACCATACCATTTTACATCGGATGGTAGGATTTTGTGCGAATGCTGTTGATTCTGAAGAGCTCGGTAAGTTGTTGGAAGAGGTGACTTTGTAACCGAACTCGTACCATTAGCAGGCACTTCATAATAAGAAACGAAACGCTCCACAAGAGTTTTAACTATCGTCATGGCTGAAGTATCTTTCATGGGCACTACTACGAGTCATCACGTGAGTATTTCGATACAGGTAAAAATAAAACTAAAGCCACTTAAAATCGGCAGTGGCCCCTCAATATCGATATGTATTTGCCAAAACACACTGTCAGGGAGACGAAAATCACCCGTCGCAGAACTGCTGTGACAACTGATTTTGACATTTTGACGCTCTTCACATGTTTGTGTCCAGTTATAGTAATAATAATAATATATTTATTCTCAAATAGCTACGTTACAAGAGACATGCCAGTATACAGGCTAAATCAGATTGTCACGAATGCTCTCACAATTA